AATAGAATTATAAAATAAAAGAATTTAAAAAGGTGTAAAATTTATTTTTGGAGAACTTACCAAAATTTCTTATTTTTATTTGAATTGAAAAGTATATTGGAAATAATATTTGAACTTGATTTGATTCATAATCGAAATTGGTTTTGAAAAAGAAATGCAAAAGGAAAAATAGAAACTCTTTGCTATCCCTCTGCCTCTCTTTTCCGCTGGAAGCCCAAGCCGGCCCACTGCTCCTCCCCATCCTTTCCCTCGGCATGCCTTTGTTCCTCCGCGCACCCGGCCCAGCTCTGCTTCCCGCTTCCGCAGCCCAGCGCCACGTCGACGCTCTCCTCCTCTCCTTCGGCTCAGCCGCACGCCTCGGCCCAGTCGGCCTAGCGCTGCGCCTTTTCCCCCCTCTCTCCCACGCAGTCGCCGACAGGTGGGCCATCCCTGTCAGCTCTATCCCCCTCCTCCCGCTCGTACCCGACGCGGACTCCACCGCCGCCGCTGAGAGTCCAAAGCCGCCCCGCGTCGTTGCCTTGCGCCTCAAGTAGCCGGCCTCATAAATACCGAGCAGCGCCGCACCGCTTCCCTATCCCGTTCTAAGCTGCAGACGCCTCGCCGAGCCGACGCAACGCCGCCAAACCCTAGCTGCCGTCAGCCGCTGCCACCGGCGAGCAATGCGCCTCTTCCGTGCCTCCACCGCCGACGTTAACCTCCATGGTGACTTCACAGTCTTGCTCTCTTTCTCCCAGTGCCGTTTGGCGAAGCTCCGGTGAGGTCCGGCCATGGTGTCACCGTCTTCTCTCTCTATTCCGACCGACGTGCGCCCTCTCTCTCCCTTGCTTCTATTCTCAGCCGTCCAAATTAGATCCGACGGTCGAGATTGCATGATACCCTTTCGGCTTGGCACATTTGCTAAAGAGTCCCTTGAGTTTTTGAATATAGAACCCGCAGTCCACTCTCCAGATCTAATCTCATTCATCCAACTCTAATCCAACGGCTTACATTCCTCCATACCCCTTCGCCTTGGCAATTTTTCATAAAAACCCCTTTGGTTTTCTATGTTCTAACCCGTCATCCCTGGTTTCTTTCAAAAGAGCCCTGAACTTTTGCTAAATAGGATCCACAGTCCTCGGCTGATTTAAAAATCAGATTTTATTTATTTTAATTCAAAAATTAAGTTCCATCTATTTACAAAATTGCCATTACCTTCTATAGGCTATATCTTCTCTGTTTTAACTCTGATTTGACCCGTTCAACTTGTGTTAGGTTCGTAATTTCAAAATCTACATGTTCATACTACTGATAGATATGTTTTCAACTTTTAAAATTCGAAGTTAGATTTAATCTATTATTTTATTAAAGAAAATCTTGTTTAATTCATATCTTCTACGTTTCAACTCCGTTTTAGCCCATTCAAATTGCGCTGGATTCATAATAACATAAAGTACGCATTGGTAACCATGTTTATCATGTCACTATTTCTAGAATTTCATAGTTTAAACTCTAACTTGAATAATGATTATGCAACTAGATTTTATAAATAAAATATGATTTGTTTTACTTTAATTTTATAATTCAAATCTAAATTTGACTTAATTCAATTTATATATGTTTTATATAGTTAAAACACATGAAGCTTATAGTTTTATGTTTTCTCTTCTGAGTAGATCTTTCGGTAGTTGTATCTTTTCAACCGTAGCTCCGATTAGCGTGCCTCTCGCGTCTGTGTGTTCGTAGCGATGCGTAGAATCATGTTTCAAACTCTTTTACTTATTTTTTCTATGATTGATGTACTGTTCTAATTTAGATCTATTGTTTGCTTTATGTATGATTACATGGATGCTTGTGTGGTGCTTTATGATCATGTCCAGTCGATGAGTTGTACGTGGCGAATTAAGAAGCAGATCTTTGAAGATTTGGATTGGAGGAAGGATCTGAGTTTAAGACAAGTATAGCATGGGATCTTCCTTGTTGTCCTATACACCTTTCATCAGTTAATTCATACTGCATGTGTCTACCTTGACTACCACTAAGAATTTCATAGTACTTTGTACCTTGTGCCTTGATACCTAGGGGTATTGCATTGGGTAGTATGATGCTAGTGCTCAACTACAGCCATGATCTTGTAACTTGACTAATGGTATATGCAATAAACACTAAAAGATGTTTTTAGCAACATGGAACAAGAAGGCTAGAGCATTGGGCTGTTTTTATGATGCTCTAGATTCCTCTTCCTAAGGACTTATCTGTAAGTGATCATCCGAGACATACAATACAGCTGTGAGAGCTGCATGGCTCTGACTTTAGCTAAGTATGATGACCTTTTCTAGCTTGTTAGTGGTTACCTTTATTGGCGTAAGAATGACTTGACGAATCGGGTATAATGCAGCCTCTGTCCCCTTGAGTATAGGCTGCGCGTCATTATGCCATTGGAAAGGGGGCTCTATATCTGTTTGCTGAGTGAATCTAATGGCCCTAACTTGTTAGACGAACATTTGAAAGGCTTCATAGTGAACCATGCTGACCTTCCTTGGTAGTGGGTCAAGAGGCTGATCACCTCGGGCGAAAGGGTAAATCATGACTCACAGTGAAAGTGTACAACCTCTATAGAGTGTAAAACTGATATATCAGCCGTGCTCATGGTCAGGAGCGGCCTTGAAACCCTTACGAAATAGATGATAAACACTGATGATACTAATGATAAAGATGCTCATTAATGATTACTGTTTATGCTATTCATTATTCATGTTTACCTGATCATGTGTTTACATGGGCTTGTAATAAACTTGTTGATACTCAATTGCTAAAATCATAATTTATTAAAAGCTAATCACAGTCAAACCAGTGTCAGCCTTTTGAGCCTCATGAACCTCATGTTATATTTGTTGAGTACGACATGTACTTACGCTTGCTTTACTTTTTAAATCTTTGAAAAAATCCTGGATGGGTACCAGATTGCTAGAGTTCGAAGAAATTAGGCTTGTGATCAACCAGTTAGTTGTCCCTGTGGAATTGGAGTCTTCACCTAAAGATCGGAGTTGTCTTTCCGCTGTTTGCTGTCTAAGGTTATATTCTTTATACTAAGTATGTTATATATTGAGTATTGTCTTTCGATATTACCCTTATTTGTAGCTATATGTAAGATTTGACTTCCTGGGCTCACGTATGGTGCGTATCTGGTTTTGTTCTTAAAACCGGGTGTGACATTCACGATATTTTCCAAATATCTTCGGAAGAGTCATACCAATTTGTTTGTCAATTGGGAAATTAAGAGCATAATTGCTATAGTATTTAACTTTAGACTTTAATTAGTGGTGCAATATATATTATTTTGTTATAGCATGTCATTTAGAATCATAAATCAACTAATATAATCATTTTATATAGTTAATATTAGTTCTCTATAACCAATGGGGAGGGGGACTAGAAAATTTGTGTTGGAGTGGCAAGGTTGTCGGTATACTTATCTGGATCTATCATAAAATCTTACGATACCACAATCCTAGCTACCAAACCAAAATAATCATGATCCCAGCCTGTATCCTATAAATTCATAGCATTCTGATCCTATGTGGGAACTCCATATGATCTCACAAAATCGTTAAGATCTTACATAGGATCCTGGTTCTAACAAAAATTAGGCCTTACGGAGTATGTGACAAGCTGAATTTTATTAGTTAATATGATATGGTCTACACTTTTACAGGTTGTGGTACATTAAATAATTATTGATATCTGTAACCTTATAAACAGTTGAGTTGCAATAAACTATTATTCAAAATTAAGGTGGATTGAAAATAATATGAATAAGTTCACTCAAGTTTATTAAAAAGTTAATTAATTTTCTAAAACCATTATTACAAACTTCAATTTTACGAAACATTTACAAATCTTATATTAAAATATATACTTGTGAAATTTGGTAGGATACTTATCCTACAATAGATTCTACAATCCAGTTCTATCAATCAAAATATGATCATATCTAGGACCCCGATCCCAACATCCCTTTTATTAGGGTCTAGTATGTAAAGGGTTTATGAAACTATTATCACTTTGGAAATTTTCATGCAGGGAAAAGATTGTGGCTTTGTCTCAAAGACACTGTGCTCATTAACTTTGCATAGTGCAAACTGCAAGCATGTGATTTATCTAAATGGAATGGTGTTCTAAAGACAAAATTAACACATTTTGCAAATTTAACTTTGAGGACACAGCATAGTGTCCAGCAAATTCCTTTTACATCTATATTTGTAGAGTCAACTAAAACTTGATTCCCCTGCATTTTGTCCCTTGCACCAATAATCTTATTCACTCTTTATTTTTTAAAAACTATAATATTTTTTCTTGAGGGTACATTTCTTTGATGTATCCTTCTAGTGAAAAAATTGTTTCCCATAAAGAAATGGAAAAGATAGGGGGGATTTAATGTAATTTACACTTCAGAAAAAAATCACAATAATAAATAACATATGCAAATTTTATTTTTAAAATAACTTTTAAATTCCATGAGAAGAGTATGAGTTTACTCTATTGAGTTTGTTACTTGTGTAAAATAGAAAGGAAATCGAATAATTTTAAGGATTGATTTTTTCTCATGAAAACTAGCTATATGTTTATAAAGAAATGTGTGCTGAAAACTGTGTACCTCATTTCTTCTTTTTTACCATTTTAGGATTTCCTTTTATTATGGTATTTTGTTGATATACACACCAACACAAGAGCATGTACACTTGGGGATCAGAGAGAGAGAGAGAGAATTAGGCTGTATGAGGGCGCAAAGGAAAATTTGTCTAATTATTGTAGCAAGCAGGAGAACTTAACCGAGCATAACTCAAATGGTTTGGTTCCTGCTCATGATTTGAGTTTGAGTCCCATGATCCAACGCATGTGTTCACCTTTCCCTACATTTAAATTCTAGGCTAATGCATCTTATTGTTTGTACTACTCTAGATAGAAAGTTTTGCAGATTAACTATATATATATGATTAGAAACTATATTGTGGCTTGCAGTCTCACTTGATGAATCTGTTGTATGCTGATGGAACACGCTGTCTCTTCTCTGGGGCTGGAAACATGAAAGAATAGAAGTGAGCACACCACCAAAGATAAGTAAAGGAATGACAAGAGGTAATCAACATGCTTAAGCACCGGAGAAACTTGCTATAATAATAGCGACATATATGAGCATGATCGATAGCTATGTTTATCTGTGTTCGGGCAATCAGGAGAAGATACATACGTCGTATGGGTGGCACTTGTGGCTGATTGTTTGACACTGGATACATGGAAGGCGTTCGTAGATTTCTCGATGAGGCTTGCTCGTAGCTCCCAAAATTGTTATATTGAAACCCTCTGTTCTGGACAACCTGTGGACAAACATCCATGTACTAAACTACGATATGATTCCAGAGAAAATATGATGCCTACTGATCTCAATTTATATATCAACAACTAAGCTAAGAGGATCTATCACTATTGTCGTTTCTGTAAAAAAAACTTGTTGACGATATATATCAAAATTATTGCATAGTTTATGGAGGGAATCCTTCATATATGAACAACTTAATTACTATTGCAGTTAAAAGTTAGAACTGGTTTTGCACCTGGTTGTCTGGAACAGTGCGTGCCTGCTGGTGGAAGGGACTGAGGTCCATAGAGAGCACCATTGTACAATGCCCACATTTGACAGTCACAATGTTGTGGGAACAGCTGTTTGGCACATTCACCTGCATGCACATATGCATCCATGAATTTATGATAAACATTATACCATGCATGCATCCACAAGTAACTAATATAAAAGAGCAGGAGGGATTCCATGGCACAACAGAATGTATAGCTTTGCTAGATGTCTTTTGCCTGATTGTCCGTATAAATAAAGAGTTCGATCAAATAGTACAACTTCACATATATGTCCTCGAAGTAAATGTTTGATGCTAGATATGGTTGGTTAGCTGGCCGGATATGGCCTAATTGAACCATCTCTGCAAATATTATAGTCGTTCAACAGTTTTTGAAAGACTCTCCCTCCGAACGAGGATGTTGCAGATCAAAAAGAATAGCAGTGAATTAGCTTGTACTAGCTAAGAGCTAGTTAGAAGAGGGAGGCAGCAAGGGTAAATAAAGTGCATGGTCCAATGGCAGTGCCAGGTAAGAATATGAAAGTTGAACCATGCCTGCTTCATGCACATCTGTCCGTCTTTTGACTATACATGCATGCAACACCTTTTCAGGTGTCTACCTTTCGAGCGCTAGCTACCTCGCTGCCGCCAGGAGATGCTGCAGCTAACTTAACAATTGCATGCCTGCATCGATCCTCCTCCTCACTTGGAACCAGCATAATCTCATCGGGAAGAGAGATGCAGAGAGAGAGAGAGAGAGAGATGTATGTCAGCATGTGCATGTAGTGAAGTCATGCAGCCTTATATATTGAAAAAGAAAAGGCAGTGCAGGGCAGGCATGTTGATAACGCACGCCCGGCGCATCGGTTTCGCCATGGAAATGTCATCGCGAGCAGCTGCAGCGTTGTTTGCTAGCGCTACGGTTGAGCGGAAGCTGTGTGCCGGCGGTCAGTACGTCCAGGTATATATGTAGCACACATGCAGCTGAGCTGATATATGCATGTGAATATATATAGCATGAGCATATGTAATATACTAGTAATATATAACATGGAAAAAGTAGTGGCATCCCCGTTCGCTTGAACTTATCAGCCGGCTTATCAGCTAGAATCTACAGTATTTTCTTATCACAATAAATCAGCTTCAGCCGGCTTTAACGCCCTTTACAGTTAAAAGTTTATGTCACCCCTCTCCTCTCTTTCAGCGCAACATCATGAATGATGGATCACGTACATATATATCTACAGTCTACACACAGAAACCTAGCTAGATCCCCCACCTGCGCAAACATCAAGAAAGGGGAAAATGACATGACCAGCAGATCCACTTCTCTCTGCACATGTGCAGAATGGGAGGGAAGCATGCATGCTGTCGTCCCAACAACTTCCACAATTTTTTTTACTGATTGATTATCTTATAAAATATAATTCAGACACGAAAGATCGAATAATAGAGCAAGCAGCAAGTAATAAGGTACACTGGCCTGGGTGTATTATCGCATGGGAGACGACTAAAGCAATAGTTAAAGAGGCTTTAATCATCGCCCGCATCTGCATGCATGTAAAGTTGAGTGCCAGAAATCATTTTGTCAGGAAACCATATGAAGATATGCAGCCTATTCGCTGATTGGTTTCTGGGTTGATAAGCCCGGTGGTGCTGGTTTATTATGAGAGAAAAACACTATTGGCTGGCTGATAAGCCATAGCTGAAACCAACAAGCAAACAGGTTGATGACCGGTTTGTTATTTGATGGTATATGTGCAGCTAGTGCGTCAAGAACGCTGTGTAAAACAGAAAAAAAACAGGACCCTGCTCATGCATACCATGGATGTTCCCCTCCCAAAATATCTACGTTTTGATGAAATAACTTGAAATAATGGACCCCAGAAAACCTATTATATATTTTGGTCAAACTATATATATGAAAGACTACCATGTACATCGGTTGTAGATTTGTTTTAGGAGTAGTAAGTAGTGAACAAGCAGGAACATATATTAGTGTTGGATCTGAAGTTTACATGGTAGGGGGGTCTAAAAAGACTGAAGGAAATTTCATTCAGGAAATAAATGAAATGTGTATAAAAGAAAAAAAAGGATAAGAAAGATGTTGAAGCAGACATTTTTCTGTTATAGTAAAAGGTGTCCTTGAAGGGGAGAAGGGATAACTAATGCTTTTTTTTGTTACAAAAAATTGGAACGGTGGGAAAGAATTATATATGCTGTTTGGTCCAGAAAGGTACACAGATATGTATAGTATTGCTCCTGTTTGCCCTTCATATTTCATGATGCCAAATTTTCACCATGCACTTAGAACATTTTCAAGGTTGTTTGGATTAGCTAGATTAATTAGCAGGAGTAGAAAAGTCTTTTTGTAGGATAAAAACATAGTTATGGTGGAACCAGTACCCATGGCAGAGCACTTGAACAGTATCACCATAGGTAGCTCTGAAGGAAAAAAAAACAAGAAAGGAAACTCGCTGCAGAGAGAGAGAGAGAGCACTTGAAGAGGATCACCCCATAGGCCAATAGCTTCGAAGAAAAAAACGAAAGGAAACAAGTGGCTGCAGATCAAGAGAGAGAGAGAGAGAGACTATACCACCAGGATAGTGTTGCAATAGTTGCAGTTGACATAGCAAGCATGCTCGGATGCAAACTGGGCTGACATTTCTTCTTCGATCTCCAAGTTCCCACCGTCGTCGTGAAGGCGAGATCTAGAGGGGGGGAGGAAGAAAGCAAAGCCAGCAGGCGATATGAATGAGCAAGACGATGCCTCCTGTGCCCTATATATGGAAGATTAGGGAATAGGGAGGGCGTAGCTAGCCCAATTTCCTCTGACCTTCGGCGCTGTCGTCGTCTATGGTGGAATTGAAAGAGGTTTGTGGAGGAAGAAACAGAAGGATACCAAGGAGAGAGAGAGAGAGAGAGAGAGGAAGGATAATAACCTGAATGGGGACCGGGGGGGGGGTGGAGAAAAGGTGTTTGGTGGGTTGTCTTGTGGGAGGAGAGGACAGTGCAGCTGATCTAGTGCAAGAGGTTAGAAAGATCAAGCCACATGCTACAGCAACCAATGGGCAATGTTGGTGTGACAACAAGCTGCTAGCCGCTGGGACTTGCATGGAGCATAATCAGTGTGTGGTACTGGTAGCAGATATCAGAGTATTCCGTTGGGGACTTTGTTTACTTCACTGCATTACCGTTAGTGGCTTGCATGTGTCACTTTTGTCATCAGATTTCCCTTTGGCTGTTAGTTAATTTTCAGTAATTGAATAGTGGATGTGTCTTCTGGTAGCTAGTATATTTTTTTAAATGTGAAGTGCAGTACATACGCATAGATATGCTCACATGTACGCACGTAAGCTCACACCTCTGGATTTAAACGTACGTGCATACCTTACCTCATTGAGCACCGAGAGACTGAGTGTAACACCCGGTTTCAAGGACAAAGCCGATTGCACACCATATGTGAGCCCTGAAAATCAAATCTCACATATAGCTACAAATGAAGGGGCAATATCAATTCATAATGCTTAATATATAGCGAACTTAGCAAAAAGATACCTTATAAAGCAATCAACGGATAGACAACTTAGATTTGCGGGTGCAGACTTCACTCCACTGGATCCAACTGACTGGTTGATCACAAGCCTAAACTCTTCCTAAGGTGGGGAAATAGCAAGAGTGAGTCCATGTCGAACTCCGCAAATATAGCAACAAGGTAGTGTAATCCATAACCACATGATGTGTAATTGAATAATGAATCGCACATAAACAATTTAAATGAACATACAACAATTCCCTCAGTTTTCCGAGCCGCCCGTATCCGTGGGCACGGCTAGTATACCAGTTTATCAAACTCTGCACAGAGGTGTACACTTTCACTGTGAGTCATGATTTTTATATGCCCGTGTTAGCTAGGCCCAAAACACAGAGAATCATATAAAGCCACCCAAGAGCTCGTCTAACCGGCCAAGGCCGCAGGGTCATCAGATATAGGAACCCCCCTTCCAAAAATAAAGTAAAAGGCCGATTCCAAAGCTAGGCTCAACAGGACAGAGGCTGTCCTATACCCAACTCGCAGACCTCTAACCAAGAAAAGGGTTTCTCAAGCAACTAGAGCCAGAGCCATATAGCCCTCACAGCTGTACTGTAAGTCCCAGCTTTTGCCAAAGGATAATGTTCATCATTTATGTTTATATCACATTTCATTAAACAAGCCCAAGATCATGGTCATAGAAAGAAAACCCAAGTTATACTTGCCTTCAACTTTCTTTACACCCAAAGCATCTTGCTTCAAGAAGCATCAACTTCATCTTCCATTCTACAGCTTCGGACGCTCAGCTTCTGATCTTCAACGCTCTCAAACAGTTCTTGTCTACTCGAAACAAGCACCACACATAGGCAAACATACAAGAAACAAAAGAGACTAAGACAACACACCACACAAGAGAAAACATCGTACTAAACGAGAACTCGTTACTACGATCGAGAGAACGCAAGAAACACCGATAAACCAACTATCGTTAAAAAGAAACGACTATCGAGAGTTTTATATATATTATAAAAAGAAAAGAAAAGCCTACATGCTTCATTTATTTTAATTGAGTAAAACCATGTAAAAATTATTAAGAACAGATTAGTCAAAACATAACTTAATTTAAAACTCGAGTTGAAACTACTCATATTTTATTTATAAACAATGCCATATAATTTAATCAAGTTAAACTTTTACTTTACAAAAGAAAAGGATATGTGAGCATCTAAACATGTTTTTATATGATTGTGTTTGAGCCTAACAAATTATAATCAAAACATATTTAAGTTGATATTAATCAATCTAATATTCATTTATAAAAGGCCGACATGACAATCCTCTATAACTTTTAATTAATAAACTTGTTACATGTATATTAATTAAATTAATATTTAGTTTATAAATCACTAGCATATAAGTATGTATCACGCCAACGCAGCTGTTAGGATGTAGAATAAACGGAGAAGAACTCGAACATGCAAATGCTCACCAGCAATAGCAATAGAAACAGGACGACGACCATGGCAGGCTCGGCAGGAGCAGGATCAGAAGATGGCAGCACAGCTCAACAGGGATTCAAGGTTCGTCTCGATGAAGATCCCCATGTCTACGAGTTCTCCGTCCATGCAAGCGGCGCTCGCGACGATATGACTGGTGCTCGGCATCCAGCTGCAGGAGCGGGCGTCAGCGGCCTGCTACACAGGCCGAGCTGCACATATGGCAAGAGCTCCGGTCATCCATTGCCTGAAGATCACGGCAAGACGTACGTACAGACTGTAGATGTACGTAGAGAGGTGATGAGGAACAGGCAACATCGATAGTGCTGTTACGAGTCACAGAAAGAAGAAAAAAGGATTTCGAGAGATTGACCAAGAGCTGCTGCACACATGACCATGGCCTGACTGCTGCTCTTCTTGAGCCTTCGTGGCCGGCTCACATGCAGGACCGAACTCAACCAAGATGAGGTAAGGTCGATTGCAGTGCACAATGGTACGCTAGCTGAGGAGAAGGGTCGCGGGATGTCCAGAAGTCACTCAACGATGCTGCTCCATGAAGGTTTGCCGAAAAAGTGACCAGAAAAGAGAAAGAAGGGGACACGGTCAACCGCTGATGGATTGATGAAAAGAAAGATACTTCAGCGTTGAGAGAGATCTACCTTGTGGCGACGGCGATGGCAACAGCGACGGCGACGACGAGAGAAAGGAGAAAAATATAATTTACTACACGAGGGATTTCCCAAACTTA